GCTGTATCTTCCTTCCTCTATTGCTTCCCTAGGAGTGAGTAATATCAGTGCTCTTCAAGCCTTGTACAGTGGTGCATGCCTGGAATCCCGGCAACTTGGGAGACTGAGGCAGAAGGATGTCAAGTTTGAGGTCTGCCTCAGCAACTTAGCAAGTTCATCTCAAAAAATATAAAGGGCTGGGGGGTGTTTTTCAGTGGTAAAGTGACCCAGGTGCTATTCCTAATAAAATAAATAAATAAAGAAGAAGAAAAAAATTAGTGTTCTTCAAATCACATGTTAGAAAGGGGGCTCACCCACTTCTTAATCACGTTGAACCATGATGGTCCCCATTCCTTATAACCTGGAATCGATATATAGGATTGACTCCAAAATGTTATTTTCCCATGTTCTGAGACCATGACATCTTGAAACATCTGCAGGTAGAGCTGGGTAGCTTCCATAAGTCTGTGGGAAGCTGAGGTTGCAAGACCCTTAAAGTACTTGGAAAGACTGGGGATGTTGGTGACATTCAGGAGGAGTAGATGACCTATCCATCTCTAGGAGGGTGAGGAGGTGCTTCTTTCCCACTGTAATCCAGCAAACTTTAAGGAAGCTTCTGAAAGTGAAACATTTAGGATTTATAAGTCTGGTAAACCCCTTTTTATCACTAATTTCTGACCTACAGCCTGAGTTATCATGAAGGGGCTGAGTCCCTCCTTGAGGGACTCATTCATTTCCTTCTCCAGTGATGTCCCAGAGGTGCAGGATATACTTCAGTCCTCTGCTCATCACTCTGACTTCTATATCTGGTCCACAGCAATGCTTATTTTGTTTTTAAGCCCAGTTATTTCTTTCTAGACTCTGTTTTTAAACCTATTACTGCTATGTGCAATGGAGAGAACTACTACATCATGTGACCAGAAGTCTGGGGTTCTGAGAGTGGGTATTCTACACTGCTGTGTTAAAGTAGATGGACAAATGGTCAGGGTACTTTAAAAACCCACCCTTAGTTAAGTAAAGATTTAGGAGTGGGTGAACCTAATTGTTTTCACTGCATTATGCCACCTTCTTAGGGCCAAGATAGCAAACAACTCAAGATCTTTGCTGTACTTCAAAAGTGTCCAGGATACTGGTGACAGACTGCCTTTGAGGAAGTGAGGTTCCACAGGAGAAACCTGTCAGTAATAGTAATAATTATGATTCCTCGTGGGACAAGAACACTGTGAATCATAACTGATATTTCCTCTTTCTGCTGGTCACACATTGGTGACCCACATGTGGCAAGAGCACCTTGTACAGCCTTTTTGGTGCTGACTGGTCTTCAACTTCTGTTCCCTGCTCTTATTTTAAAAAGAGAAAATTATTACATTATGTCAGTTCATGTAATCTTCCCTGTATCCCTTTTTGCATGCATGAAGGATTAACATCATCTAATAAAAACTGCCTCACTCATTTCCCTAGCTGGATTGGGTGGAGATTGTGTTAGCTCTTTTGATTCCTGGTATGGTACTGATTAGCAAATTTTGGCTATTTGTGAGAAATATGTGTTGAGCGCCTTCCTTATCTATCGCCATCCCTAAGGGAGACTGGCCTTTGCTTCATAAGGTCCAGCATCCACTGGGAATATAACAACCCCCCAACCATCCTAGCTATCACACTCCCCCTCCCCAGAACACCTCCCTTTTCTATTACTCCAACCTCCAGGGCCTCTACCTGGCCCTTCCATTGCGTTGTCCCTCCACCCACGGTATGGCCTCCACCACCTCCTGGATCCCTTCCGCGGGTGCAGCTTCAGCCTCCCAGAAGCCTGTCATCCCACCTCGTTGGAGCAGCCTCCTTTCCACCCCACCTTCTCCGCTGGCCAGCCCTCCCCAATTCCCAGACCCCCTCCGGCTGCAGTCTCTTTACCCAGACACCCTCCCGGTCCTGACCTCCCCGACCCTGCACACCTCCCACGTGGGGGCTTCTCCCTGCATCACTGCACTCAGGTACCCGCCCCAGAGGCCTCCGCGGCCTCGCTCGCCCCGCGCGGTGTCCCTTCGCGGTGCCCGCGCTCCCCCGCCCGCGCAGCCTGTCTGCGGCGCGCCTCTTCCGGCCGGCCGGCGGGGCGGAGCGCGGCGGGCGAGCCTCCCGGGCCGCGGGCGCCGGCCATGCTCATCACGCTGTGCTACCTGTACCTGTGGGCGCGCTGGGGGCGCCGGCCGGCCGCGCTCGTGCGCACCACGGTGCGGCGGCTCCGCGCCACGCGCTGCTCCTTCACCTTCTGCGGCGCGGCGGCGCGGCCCGGAGGCGCGCGCGTGTGCCTGAGCCGCGGCGGCCGCGTCTTCTGCGTCGGCGAGAGCCAGGTGGGCGGGCGGGGGGCGCGGGGCGGGGCCGGAAGCGCCGTCGGCAGCGCTCAAGCCCCCGCCGAGCCTGGCGGGCGGGGCGCGCGGGCCCGGGACCCCGGCCTCCCCGCAGCGCCGCGCGCGGACGCCCGTCCCGCGGTGGGCGGCCTCTGGGGGACCTGAGCGCGGCAGGAGGCTCGTCCCTGCCGGGGTCCGGTCGTGTCCCGTGCGCTCTGCATCTTCTCGGCAGCCCGCTCTGCATCTTCAGCGCTTCGGCCGACGCTCGGTCTTTGTTTCCGGGCCCCGTACTTGGGATGGTGGCCACTGTCCAGCCGGCCCAGTCACCTACAGTGGCGTGGGCCTGCCGTGTAATCGCTGTAAAAAACGCGCCCTTGCTGAGACAAGGGACTGTGGTTCTTTCCAGGCAGCTGTTTTGGGAAGTGGACTTCACAGTGCACCACTAAGCAAATTGCCGTGGGCATCGCAATACCGCTTTCACTAAGGCTGAGAAGAGTTTTGCTTTTAGTTTTTGCTTTTTCCTCTTCCGTCTGGAAAGTTGGCTCACTTTCAGCATTAAATTGAGATTTTAAAAAATTATTTAAACGTAGGTAAAATCACAACACCCATGAGAGAATCAAAATCTTGTCTCAGTGTTGAACATTCTGTTGTGCCTGTGCTTAGGTGTGGAATACCAGTAGCAAATAAAGGACACCCTAGGTTAAAAAAATATAGTATACACACTGAACGGGTTCTCAGTTCTTCCTAGGAATGTACACAACGAGTACCACCCAAGTACCACCTGGACCCACGGGGGGAAGTTCATTACATCCAGTGGCCACCTTAGGAAACCTGGTTGAGAAAAATAAAATGAAGAATAATTACAGAGTGGATTTTACTACTGCAGCAGCTTCTAGACTTGATTTATTTAAAATATGTTCTTTAGAGTTTAGAGTAAAATTTTTAACATACACGAAATTTGAGATGTAAATGTTTTAATTTTTTAGGCAGTTTTACTTCGGAACATTTTCATGATGTTATTGGGCCTCGGTTAACTAAATCAACTAATTTTTCTGCTCTTGCCTACCCCTTGAGCCCTGGGCGGTAGTGATCTGATGCTTTCAGGAATTCTGTAACATGCTGTACATCCGTTTTACGCTGTTAGTTTTGCTGAGATATGGCTCCTCTGTTGGGGATTGGAGCCTTTTTGTGGCTGGTGGTGGTGGTGGTGATAAGGCTTCCCCCAGAAGCCTTGGATTTTCGTCCCCCCCCCCCATATGTGTCTTGTTTTTGGTAGGCTAAAAAAACCTTTTAAAAAGTTTTTTTTTTTTTTTTTTTTAAATGCTTCCTAAAGAACAGCAAATTAATTAAAAAAGGCATTAGCCCACCAAAAATAAGGCACCAAAATCCAGAGATGCTCAAGTCCCTTATATAAAGGGATGTGGTATTTGCCTACTATGCAAAAAATCTTCCTTATATTCAAATCTTTTAATTGATTTATTTATTTTTTGGTGGTATTGGGGATTGAACCCAGGACCTTATGCATGCTAGGCAAGTACTCTACCCCTGAGCACATCCTCAGCCCCCAGATCAATATATATAATATATCTAATGTAGTGTAAGTGGTTGTTACTATATTATTGTTATTACCTAAACTGCATTGTTTAGCTAATAATGACCAAAAAAAGTCTGTTCTTGTTTAGTATAGATTTAATTATTTTTCTTTCTTTCTTTTTTTTTTTTTTTTGGTTTGAGTCCAGGATGTAGAACCACTGATAAGGAGGGCCCAGTGGGACCATATCTGATCTGCTGACCAATCTTGACTATAATCTCCTTTTAAAAAAGCTAAATTAGGGCGGGGGATGTAGCTCAGTGGTAGAGCACTTGCCTTACATGCATGAGGCACTGGGTTTGGACCTTAGCATCACATAAAAATAAATAAATAAAGATCGTGTCCATCTACAACTAAAAAGATATTTTTTTTTTTTAAAAAAAGCTAAATTAAAATCACTCTTGAATTTACATTTTCTCTAAAATATGTTTGATGGCTTTTTTGCATATTGTAAGGGTCTTTCCCAGAAATATCCTATCTTATCTCTGTATTTGTTTTATTTTATTTTTTGCAATGCTTCAAACTCAGGGCCTCATGCCTTTTAGGCAAGTGCTGTACCACTGAGCTACACCCTCAGCCCTGGGTTTGACTGTTTTGTGAGTTTCAGAAAGATTATGCACTTCCCAGGTCTCAGGGGAAAGAACAGTTTACTTCAGTATGAGTAATGCAAGCACAAAGGACAGCTGCCTTGTGCTGCCAGGCCTGGTGCCCGTGGGAATGAAGGACCAGGTCTTAAGACTGCAGTAGCCAGGCAGGCTCTTCCAGACCTCCTCATTCTTAAATGTGCCTCAAATGTGATTTGGAAAACTATGTGCTAATCTGTAAGCAATGGTGGTCAGAATTAATTGTGTGAAAACAAATATCCAGAGACTTTAAAGCTGTCAAGAGTCTCAGAGGGCTTTGGGGCTGTTTGAACAGTCACGCTTAAACAAGAAGCACAGGGTTAATGTCTGCAGAAGAGCATCAGATAACCTTAGGTAGATCTTACCTGGAATTGCAGAGGGGCGGTATGTCAGGCATGCTGAGATAAGTGGCAGTTGTGGTTTGAAGTGACACTGAATCCTCTATGTTTCTCTCCCTCTGTGCAGTCCATTGATGACTTGAACAAATGGGCCCTGTTTCTTGTCTCTCCCTTTATACTTGAAGCAGAACACATAGCATTTGTGACAGAGAGCATTTGGGTTCAAGGTGACACTTTACAGAGACCATCTTCTGAAACAGTGAGTACTATGTTTTTTTTTTTTTTTTCTTGTGTGTCATTTAGTTCTATACGTGTCTTAATCCTAACCAAGTTTGTTTTTTCATGAGTGATCTTCCCTAGCTTTTGTAGGTGACTTGCTATCTTTTTGGATATTTTGGATTGTATCAAATGTATTGGTGTAATTTCTTTCACCTCTTTATTCTTATTTTTTTAATGTGACTATTAGAAAATTTCAAACCATGTGTATGACTTTTTTTGTGGCTTACATTGTGTTCATTTGGGACAGCATTGCTCCGTGCCCTCTTCCTGGCCAGTTGGTTTCTCCCTACATCTTCTCACTCCTGCAGACAGCCTGAATGGCTGGGTTACATCTGTAGACATCCTACCCTGAGGATTCTGAAAATATGTCAAACTCAGTCACATGTCCAAACTTGTTTATGTTCTGTTTAAAAAAAAAAAGTCCCCAATTAACACCCGAATATACTCTTCCTCTTACCTGCTCCTAACTTTCACTGAGTTCCAAGTTCCACTGATGTCACTCCCCAGAGGTCATGGCTTTGCACCTTCATTGCAGTTGCTCCTGAGTTCACTGTCATCTTCAGTATCTTCTCTTTACGCTGTGAAGATGTCTTCCTCTCCTTGGGTTTCCTCTCGATGGCCAGAGTCACCGTCCCAGACACACATCCAGCTGGGACCCTCTTGCGGAAGCTCTGGGTGCTGGTCTGCTTCCCCTGTGTCTCTGATGAATCACTCTTGTCTTTCTGCCTTCACCCACATGCAAGGCAGGCGCTCTACCACTGAGCTACAATGGGCAGGTTGTCCAGCAGGCATTCTGCTGATGACTGCTGTGTTGCTGGATTCTTGTCCTGAACATTGTCCTTAAGACACTGTATTAGGATGAGAGGAAAGGAAAGAGAATGGGGAGTAAGAAAAGAAATAATTCACTAGAACTCAAGATTGACCAAAAGATGAGCTGGAGATAGTAAATGAGGGAAGGAGACTAGCTGAGACTCAGAAGACTGGGAGGATTTGACAGGTGACCCAACAGCAGGCCAGTGTGTGCTCTCTCTGGACCATCCATAAAGTCTTGTTTAGCATTACATATACTTATGGTAATAATGATGCCATTTATTGAGCCCCTGATAGGTATTTTGCATACATGAGCTCTAATGCTTACAACTCTGCAAAGTATTATTGTTGTCATTTTAAAGATAAGAAAATGAAGTTGTAAGATTTAAAGACGTGTCTAAAGCCACCAACTGCCCAGGGTAGACTAAGTTTTAGCCAATGTTCATGTCCTTCTAGTAGCTGGAGGAGCAAACGGATGGTTTTGAAGCGATGTGGGGCATTGAGGTTCGAGAGTAGCGAAGCTTTTGTTGACCCAAAGACAGTCAAGCAGGACCCACAGTTGTTTTCCTGCATTAGGCAGAAAGAGACCAGTGGTTGAAGTAAAGTTTTTTGGTGAGCTAAGGTGTTTTTTTGGTGGGCAGAAAAGACTATGAACTTTTTTATTTTTTATTTTTTTTCACATTTGGGATTTTTATTTAATTTTCTAGCTGACAATTTACATACCTCCCTCACCCTTTCCTTTAAGTTAGTGTGACAATTTTCCATAATAAACTACTTGAACAGAAGCTTTGGTCAAGAATGGAATGAAATAGCAAAAACAAAAAACAAAACAAAAAAACCCACTGTTGCCTTTAAAAAACCAACACTTTCACCAATTATATTTAAACAAAAACACACGATGTTTGCGCCACGTGTTTACAGTGCTTCCTGGGGCGGCTCTCCTCACCGTCTCATTGGGGCAGAGCGGCAGGCAGCCATGTTTCTCCTGCTGGACGGGGGAGGCTCACACAGCTTCACATTATCCGGAGGCCTTGGATTGAAGACTCTAAGGTCTTGAAATCCCAAATGGTCATGGCTCCATCGATGCCAGTAGTGCAAAATTTGCGACAATCTTGCTTGTCCACCTCATAAATAGACACTTGAGTGATGCTATTCTGGTGCAGCGTTTCCAAGGCTGTATTGCGGTCCTCGGTGGTGGCCCTCTTGTCCATGTTGCGGAAGCGTTCCATGGCAGACATGTTGCGCTGGATGCTCTGCTTTGGAATGTCTAGCTTGGAGACAAAGGTCAAGCAGCCGCGGTCATCGTAGTTAAAGAGCATCGGGCAGCAGTCATGGCCAGCTGCCACAACGCTATTCTCCGAGACAAATGATACACTCAGGAGTGGCAGGAACTCCGTTTTCAGAGTTGAGACCTGGACACTTTTTGAGGCATCAGCAACAGACACGGTGCTGTCGTGGCTGACCCAGGCCAAGTGGCTCCCACTGGCAGAGAAGCTGACCCCATGGACCCAGCCGCCAGTGCCACTGCCACCAAACTCTGACATCAACTGACCAAAAGGCATCTTGCTGCCCCAGGGTGTGCTGGCTGGCTTCTCATCTACTTCTTTAATGTAGGCAGAAAATACTCTGCATTTGAAGTCGCACGATCCTGCTGCCAGCAAAACGTTGTTGGGATGCCAATCCAAGCTGAGGACCGTGGAGCGGATCGGCTTTTTAATGTGCTTGCTTACCCACCAGTCATTTTCAGATTCGAAGTAGCAAACGGAAATGAGTCGTGCTCCACTTCCCACAGCAAATTTGTTCTCTAGAGGGGACCATTTCACAAAAGTGGTTGTGCGATTGATCCTCAGGATCACCAGAGTGGGCTTCCAGACACCATCTTTCTGACTCCAGACGTAGGCATTGCGGTGTGCCCCACAAGTGACGATGGGGTCACTCTTGGGAGCCCAGTCAATACCTGTGATGTGTCCATTGTGCTCCTTGAGTTCATGAGCTTTCACCCACTGGCTCCCATTCTTCTTATAGATGTGCACGTCATGATTATTGGGGCTAAGGGCAATCTGGGTACGATCCCTGTTCCAAGCATGACAGGTGATTGGCTCTAGTAAAAACTGATGCAGGGACATTATTCTTAGTGTTTTCAGAGGATAGAAAGCTGGGGTCGGGGCGGTCCGGAGGGGCTCGGAGCGGAGAATTCGCGGACTCTGGTCAGTCGACTCGAACAGGCTCCGGCGGGCGCGGGCGGAGGACCGAGGCCCAGAGGGAGCGGCTCAAGACTATGAACTTTTTTAGAGAATGATTTCCAACTTAAATAACAAATGATCAATTAGGTAGATTTGAATTAAATTGCTGATATTTGACTTTTTTTTTTTTTAACTTTGTAAGAGTCCACGTGTCTCTCTCTCTCTCTCTCTCTTTTTGGTACCAGGGATTGAATTCAGAAGTGCTTAACCACAGCCACATCCCCAGCCCTTTTAATTTTTTATTAGAGACAGGATAGGATCTCACTAGGTTGCTTAGGGCTTTGCTAAATTGCTGAGACTGGCTTTGAACTTGTGGTCCTCCTGCCTTAGCCTCCCCAGTTACTGGGATTACAGGCTAGGTGTGTGCTACCTAGCCCAGCTAGTCCATGTCTCATGAGAACCTGTTCTTTTAGCTTTTAAATCCAGCTTATCATTTTTATAAGTTCAGCAAAAATTTTGTCATCACTTTAAAAAAAAGACTTTATTTATTTTTGTGTGGTGCTGAGGATCGAACCCAGTGTCTCACACATGCAAGACAGGCGCTCTACCACTGAGCTACAGCCCCAGCCCTTGTCATCACTTTTAAAGGGATTTTTGAATAATATTTATTCTCTTTACAGACCCAAGTGTTTTGAAGTATTTTTAAACTCTACTGCAGAGAATTTGCTTGATTATAATCCTGTGAAGAATGTGACCTCCTACTTGGTTTATGCGTGGTCCTCATCCGCTCATGAATTTGAAGTAATATAAATTCCCTTGAACCCATCCATTAATATAGAAGCTGGAATATGTACCTGTGTGGGTCCTGAATGGAGTCCACCCACCTGCTCCCTCCCCTGGCTTCACCTTTCCTTCCCTCAGCTTCTTTTTAGATATGAAAGTTTTCTGGATGAGTAAACACCACCTTTCTGAACACTTACGTAACTCTTATGTGTTATTAAGTGTATAAATATGGTAAGTTTTTCTAATATATTTTAATATATTAGAAAAATAATATATTTTAATATTACTTATCACTCTTACTAGATTTTAATTTAAAACCGAAGCTAGGATTTCCAAAATATTATAATTACATATAATATCAAATATGGACAGATTCTTCTTAACACAAAAATATATATAACTGCTGTTATTTATGTATTTATTTTTTTTTGATTTTGGTGCTGGGGATTGAACCTAGGGCCTTGAGCATGCTGAGCACATGCTGTACGATTGAGTTACACCCCCCAGCCCCTAACTGCTATATTTTAATTTCTTAATTTTTAATTACTTATGGGGTAAAATGACATGCAGTATCTTAAGAAACAAAGTTACCGTATTATGTGGGGTTCAGGCTAAGGTGCTATAACAAAGAAATCCAAAACTACAGTGGCTCAAGCAAACTAGAAGTTAATTTCTCTCTTGGAGTGGTTCTGCTCTGAGTGTTGATCCAAGGGCTGGGTTTCCGTTGCCTTGTTGCTCTGCTGTCCTGGTGATTGATAGACAGCTTCTTGAGGTGGAGGCTGGCTCCTGCCCTCTCCTGCTACTCCACCAGTGTCACCTTCATCCACGTGGTAGCCTGCAGAATAGAGGAAGAGAGAAAGTGGAAGACAACCAACTTCCTCTTTGAAATTGTTATCCAGAAATTTCTCATGCCACTTCTGTTCCCACCAGATTGCCTAGAACTTAGTCATAGGGTGCCCTTGGGCACTTAGCTGCAGGGGAGGATAGCAAACGCATTCCCTCAGGGACACGACTAGGTATTGGGACGTAATTAGCATCTCTGCCCAGTTATCATCTCCCTTCACCCACTTTCTGAGGTGGTTACTTGACTCTTAACTTTCTGGGGTGAAAGACGTCTGTGCACTGAGGCAGACTGCCGCTTTCCAGTTCACTTGTTTTACTTATGGCTGGAGAGTTTGGTGGGTCTTGCACGAAGGTGCTGGAG